TGTAAGGGGATGTCCAATTGTCTACAGATGGACTTTGGGTGTCCACTCCACATTCCCACTCATTCACAATGATAGATTTTTTGTTTTGGGTCTTTGATACCTGATACCTGATCCCATCAATACATCATGATCACAGAGGCTGGTGTGCTTCTATCATGTGGACTTTGTTGCTTCTCAGCTAGATGGCCGCTTGTTTATCTTCAAGCCTTTAAGACCCCAGATGCTATGTTGAGAGCTGGGCAACATCAGCTTTATTTACCACATTTGCTTATGTACCCATTTTGTCTTCAGCAATCATGTTGGTAAGGTGAGCATCACAGAATGCCAGGTTATTAGAACAAAGTGTTCTTGCATTGAGGGAGTACTTGAGTAGAGGCCCAATGGCCATCTACTACTTTGATACTTAACATATAAATATATGTACATAGATCTATTTCCCTATCATTATATAAACATATATTTATATATGTACGTGCTTGTATTTAGACCTCTATAAATGTCCTTTGCCTCCTAGTTCTTTCCTCTATTTCCTTTTACTTTCCTCTTGTCCCACTATCATGTTCAGCCTTCATTCAGGTTCAAATGGTAAAATTTTAATGACAACTTATGCAGGCACTGGAAATAATTATTATGTAAAATTCTTCATGATGTGAGGAATTGCATACCTGTTTTTTAGGGATGCATAGTATTCCATTGTGTATATGTACCAGAGTTTATTTATCCATTCCGCTACTGATGGGCATTTAGACTGTTTTCAACTACTTGCTGTTGTGAACTGTGCTGCAATGAACATGGAGGGTGCATAATTCTATTCATTTTCTGTCTCATACTTCTTTGGAGTCTATGCTCAGCAGATGTATTGCTGGGTTATATAATAATTCTAATCACTCTTGTTTTAGGTAGTTTCATATTGCTTTTCACATGTTTGCAAGTCCACCATGAGTGTATAAGAGTTCCAATCTCTCTCTTCCCTCTCCAGCATTTATTGCCTCTGTTTTTTGCTTGTTTGTTTAATTTAGCTATCTTCATAGATTTAAATTGATTTCTCCTTGTTGTTGTAATTTGCCTCTCCCAGATGGCTAGTAATCATGAGTGATTTCCCATGCGTTTGTTAGCCATTCAAGTGTCATTCCTGGTGAATTGTCTGTGTCCTTTTTCACCTTCTAATTGGATTATTTGTTAATCAGTTTTCTCCTCTTCTTCTTATTGAGATGTTGAAGAATTCTATAGATTTTAGTAACTAGTCCCTGGTCTGCTGTGTAATTGTGGAAGATGTTTTCCCAACCCATGGACTCTGTTTTACTCTTCTGAGGTGCATAATCACTTTATTTTTAGTAGGTCCTACTTATCTATTTTTTATTCCACACTGTGTATTTCCTTTATTATATATATTCATATATGTCCTGCAATAGGGCCCTTAAGTTTGTCCCAGTTTTCTTACTGATGATCCTTATAGTTCTGGAGTTTACATTTAGGTCTCTAATACATCTTGAATTCCTATTTGTGCATGAAGCAAAGTATGAGTCGTATTTCATTCTTACGCAGATGGGGATTTAATTTTTCCAGCACCATTTGTTGAAGAGGGTGTCTCTTTCCCTTTCGATGTTTTTTAGTCCTTTAATTAGGTGGTTGTAGGTGGTTACTTTTACTTCTGGGTTTTCTATCCTGTTCCATTGGTCTATGAATCTATCATTGTCACCAGACTGTTTTGACTACTATGGCTGTGCAGTAGATTTTGAGGTTGGCTAGTGCAAGGCCTCATACTTAGTTCTTTTTTTTTT